ATCCGCAGCGAATAAGACTGCATGAACGTGTCCTTAAGACACCGCCTGAGTAGGTTCAACCGGACTGACGAAAGGGGGGGAGGGTGTTTATAAAGGGTCCGAACAAGGAAGCGGATAGCATGAACAACTTGGAGACGCAAAGTATCATTTGCTTTCACGTGTGCAGCGGTGCCAAAGCGTCCCGAATCCCCTTTGGGCAGAGTTATTCCCTACTGTCTTACCCATTTGACGCCATTCTCCCGTTCTCCAGAACGCCTTCTCCAAATCTGGTGTGGAGCGTTGTTTCCAGTCGCGACGAGTGCAGCGAAATAGGCGTTGCGGGGTGACGTGTAGCATCAGTACCAGGATCTAATCCATACACGTGCACATCGACTCTATTTCCCACTATCCTGTGGAAAACACCCACGTCGCGCGCTTGCTGCGATTGGGGCGACGGCTAGCACGCGGCGGAAAGGGAGAAAAAGCCAGCGTTGCACTACTAAAGTCTCGAGGCAGTGAACTTCTGGCTTTTCGCCAATGACTGGTAAACAGCAAGACAAGGGAAGGCGAGAAGTTACGAGTATGACTGACTAACAGCACTGGGACATAAAAGGGAGCTGAAAAGCGTATTCCGTGCATAGGGGAAGGGGGAATTTCCTAGGGGATATGGTGATTCCACAGTGATCAGTGACTGTATTTACCAGTGCCCCGGCGCTACTGAATGAAAGCGATTGTGAGCTGAGAGGGACATAATCTATCGAATCGCACTGATGGCAGCGCCTTTCAATGCCCAGTACTTCGCAGAACAATTGCAACGGCATCGCTTGGTACGCACCGCAGGCGCGGCACCGGTGGCTTTTTCTCTCTCCCTTTCCGATGGAAACCATTCTGCAATTGTGGGGCAGCCCACGGTAGCTTGTATTGCAATCTGGATTTTGTGAGGAAGCGAGGGTTTAGTAAACCATTTCACACAGTTCCAGTTACAAATTAATAATGAGTGGTTCAACCACTCCCGAAGTTACCCTACATCTCAAAAAACCAGAATAGCGCCGACGTAAAACAAAAGATTAACCCAAATTATGACACACAGGCAGCCCCATCACTCTGTAATAAGCTGCGTTCATACTTTTCAGCGTCCACCAGCGTCTACCAGCGTCCACTAGCGTTCCGAGCGTCCGGCAGCGTCAGCGACCAGGAAAGTATAGATATCGATCTAGCGTCTGCCAGCGTCCACCAGCGTTCACCAGCGACCGGGAGTAGAGAGTATGGGAAGTAGGAGGGTAGCAAACAGCTGGATTAGGCGTCGTGAAATTGCGGCGTGTGCAACCGCACCGCACAACTGCTAAAGCAGAATTATGCAATTTAATGTACGGTGTAGTGTAGTTGTGCGGTGCGGTTGCACACGCCGCAATTTCACGACGCCTAATCCAGCTGTTTGCTACCCTCCTACTTCCCCATACTCTCTACTCCCGGTCGCTGGTGAACGCTGGTTGACGCTGGCAGACGCTGATCGACACCTATACTTCCCTAGCCCTTGAGACGCTGCTGGTCGCTGGTGAACGCTGGCAGACGCTAGATCGATACCTATGCTTCCCCGGCCCTTGAGACGCTGCTGGTCGCTGGTGAACGCTAGATCGAACCTATGCTTTCACTGCCCTCGAGACGCTGGTAGACGCTAGTGGAGGCTGATGGACGCTGGCAGACCCCGTAAAGTATGAGCGCAGCCTTAGCAGCCTGTTACAACATTCGACTCGAGTAATAGGTGCGCTATCGAGGACAAACTGCAAAGCAAACCGTAACTCACCTCAAACATCGACATGCAGCTTGATAATGATCCAGCTGTACCCGTGGGTACTTATCTCCGGACAGAAGTGATAACGATAAGGGCACATGCAAAGCACATGGCTGATCAGTTGAACGTGTCTCAACAGAGATCCAGGCGAGATAAGCCATTAGTGATAGGGAACTGATACCAGCCGAGCTAGATGGTGGCAGCACAAGTGATAAGATGCGGTCGTGCTAAAATATACGGTATGGATGATACGTCAGGTGCTGCGAATTACGGGCTAAGTTGTGGGTCATTGATTGCAACCCTCATCGACTTTCGATAAATTTCGAGGGCGCAGCGGTAGGTCATGGTAAAGACTAAAATGATGAATACCCACTATATACCACTCGAATTCTTGTAAAGTAAGAAATCGCTTACTGTCGTCAGGCTAGATTTTTCTATCGGCTTGGTGGGGGCTTCAAATGATACTTAGTAAAGCCTGCACAGGCCACCTTGTGAAGCCCTATAAGTTTTTACGATCAAAGTGGCTTGCGCTCTGGATGGCGCAATTGTTTCGCACGAAGATACACGTTCATGGTTCCTCATCGAGTTATCAGTGGTTTCATTGATAGTTGCAGTTGATATCGCCGCAATCAGTCGGGGCGGCGTCAGGAGGAGCGGAACGAATCCACCTCCCTCTTCTTTTTCTACATAGTGATCGGTTAGTGAGCGATACAGGAAAAAACAACCACTCATAAGAGAATGCGACTCCATGACCTCTGACACCGCCCTGGCGATGATATCAGCTGTACAGTCGTCATCCGGGCAGTTCGATTAGGCGGTCAAAAGGTCGCAGACGCGGCTGCGGCGCGTCACGACCGCGGCGATCAGCTGTTTCCAGCCCACATTTCTCCCTAATTTCCATTGTATTATTTATTTTTTTCAAGGTAAGTTGTTTCTTTGTCTTCAATGAAGTATATTAGGACGTGATATTCCTATTTTGTTTTGTAATGAAGTGTTTTTTGCGATTTTTAAGGTATTAGTGTGCTCGTTTATTCAATCATTCAATTATTCGCGAAAATTAGAGAAACCTCAATCATAATTTACCTTGTGAAGACAAGGAACAACCAACCTTAAGAAAAACAGCTGAAAACAGTGAAAATTAAGATAATCATACTCTATATATAAAGCAGAAGTTGTCTGTCCGTTTGTCGGACCAATAGGAGAACAGGCTCCGCCCACAATGGGCGGGGCCTATATTTAGCTGAGTGGTGTCACGGACGTAATCTTTTGAAAACGTTGTCAACAAAACTCTTAAACGCCGTCAACTTTGGGATGGGGGCTGAGGGCATGTTGAAAATATACCGAATACACACAAACTAAGTTAAGCCTCGCACACAATGGACGGGGCGTGCACCGAAGTGCCAACGACAAAAATTCGTAAAATTCCTCCGGAAGATCACAGGGACCGGGGACACGATCATTCTCTATGCACCACGTTAGACTACCCCACAATGGGCGTGGGGGCATACCCGAAGTGAGCGGGGCGTTTGTTCGGACGGGCGGGGCCGAACTGAAATCTTCAAAATTCGGACCCGGAACTGCCCGGGCAGCGGGAAAAAGTGGCGATCCGAAATGGCTAAATAGGCTGGAAACAGCTGATCGCCGCGGTCGTGACGCGCCGCAGCCGCGTCTGCGACCCTTTGGCCACCCTAATCAGCTGCCCGGATGACGACTGTAGTTTTATGTGACATTATTAATGAGGACGGCAAAGCATGCAGAAAAGACAGGAACAGCTGCCAATCTGATCAAAACTTTCGCGCACATTTCGGCTACTTGCAAATAAATGGGGCTTATACCCCATGTATTAGGGCGATTGTGACCCTGAAGAAAAATAGTTCCATCTTTATTATAACGATTTACTTTCACATTTTATTAATCTACTAGCATTGAAGGTAGCTTGAAAGTGACGTTTGTGATTCGACCCGTTTCGTCCTCGCGTTGTACTGATACACCGTGTTGGTAGTGAATAGCGTGACTGTAGAACCGGATGCTGAAGAAATGAATTTAGAGCTCAAGAAAAATCGTCAATGATCAAATTTTTTTCGAAAATATCTGACAGGGAAATATTTCGTTTACGGTTGATGTTCCATTTCTGCCAACGAAACCACTGTGTGGGAGTTTTTATTCATGACCTAACCTTACCCTTGGTAAGATCATCACTTTCGAAGAGCTGAACATGACTCGAGATTGAACAGTACCCGTCAAAAACTTCGTAGTAGCGAGGAAAGTACCCACGCAGGAAGGGGTACTACCCCGGAAACAGGTGTTTTCTGGAAAAGTTAGTGACTCACGTGATTCCATCCCTTTTACACCAGAAGGCATGTTGGGGAAATAGTTCGAAATCCGATTAATCATTGTCGATTGATTCCAAGAACTCATCATATACGGAAAATTCATCGCGATCCTGAAATCCACGAGAATGAAAAATAAATAGCAAAAAAAACAAATCAAAAATGCGAAACAAAGGGCGTATGAATTCAAGCACCAAGTATTTTTTTAGAAAGATTAATAGAGGAAGATCGACGAACTTATGTCGTTGGTAGGATTCCCCAGTCGTGGGTAGGATTCCCCAACGCGAAGGGAACCTGGTTCAGCTGTGAAGGAGGGATCGATGAAACTTTTTTGAGTGTTACTTCTTCCCATTTCTCCTCTCTGTGTCCCTTTCTTAGACGGCTGTGTGATAAATCCACAATTTATGATGACTCTTCAAGAATTTCTTCGGGTCAACGGGAAAACCCACCGGGAGCGCGTACGCCAAGTAACGAAGGG